TTTAGTCCCAGTGAAGTATTTTTGAGCTGTCGGGAGGGTATGTCAGCAACCTGTCCTCCTTACGAGTAGTTGCCATCTCCCAACTTACTGAGCAGTGTTGGAGGACAGAAGAAAATTGGCCCAACTCTCGTTTAAATGACTATGGAGTCTAAACCCATCAGCTTCCCGAACCTCTGTTTTTCTCCTTCTGTAACATTAATAATTGTATTTAATAGAAAGTATTACTAAAACCACCCTGTTTTTCACAGAATCACTGAATGATGTGGGGTTGGAAGGGACCTCTGGAGATAGTCTCCTCCAACCCCCTGCCAAAGCACGTCCCCCCAGAGCAGGTCCCACAGGAACGTGTCCAGTCACGTTTGAAGGTCTGCAGAAAAGGAGATTCCACCACCTCCCTGGGCAGCCTCTTCCAGGGCTCTGCCACCCTCACAGGGAAGAAGTTCCTCCTCATGTTGAGGTGGAACTTCTTGTATTCAAGTTTGTGCCCATTTCCTCTTGTCCTGTCCCTGGGCACCACTGAAAAAAGACCAGCCCCATCCTCCTGACACCCACCCTTGAAGTATTTAGAGGCATAAATTCAGGCGTGAATTCAAATTTATGGGGTTGTCTTTTCCCTGACCAAGTCATGGGAGGCAAACTGTCCTGTCAGGATCAAAACGGGACGTGTTGGCCCCATTATCCCCGTTTTTAGGCCATGTTTTTGTACGTTCTTTCTGTCCTCACTGTCTTTAGCTGCTGTTAAACACGAGGAGCTGGCTTTAAGTGGTGTTTCCGTGTGCGTGTAAATATTTATCGCTAATGTTGTTCTGTTAAAAGATGGTCACTTCTAATTTAAACAAGTCCATTATCACCCATCAGGAACTCACATAAAAAATAAGAGAAAGTCGGACGTGAGAGAATGAAGAAGATACTGAACATTATTTTTTTTTTCCACATTTCCCTTTAGCAAGAGGCACAGGATTTCAGCTCGTCTTGTAGAGCCCCCGGCGGCCGCGCTCTACGTACGAACATCTGGCAAACATGAAGAGTTAAATTAATAGTCAGTTGTTGTCGTAGTGTGGCATAGCAATTACGCACACGCTGACATTTCCACCAAAATTCCAGAAACAGGTTAAAAAAAACAACACACACAAAAAAAAACCCAAACAAAAACAAAAGAATTTTTGAGTAAAAACGTAAAACTCATGCAAGCAAGTACGGTTTGCAGTCAGATTCCCAGTCAAGTCATTCTTGAGCCATAATTTGTCTTAGAATGGACTTTTTTTCTAGAATATCCAGCCTAATTTTGACGCGCGTTGGGAATTGTGGGGGTTTCCAGCCAGGCTGGAGGCTGGAGGTGAGGATGAGTGTGGTACCAGGTCCTGTGCTGTGGAAACCCGGACTCCTCTTGTGGATCCGTGTTGGTTTTACCCAAGCCCATGGCTCACACCAACCGGTGTCCTCCTGGGGAAACCTGGTGGCAGGAGGGAGTGTAAGGGGAAGCCGGAGCTGCCCGGGCGCCCACAGCCCGAAGACGGTGCAGAGGAGTGGGAGGAGGTTGTTTTGCTTTGGGGTTTCATGGGTTGGACCCTTTTTTTTTTTTTTTATAATACTATGTCTTGCATATGCTAAAAACAAAAACGGGTTTTTGTGGGTTCTCTTAATGTGACCGGTGACGTTTCTCTCGAAACAGGGGCTGATTTTTAGATTCAAGTTCCTGATGCTCATCACCTTGGCTTGCGCGGCGATGACGGTCATCTTCTTCATCGTCAGCCAGGTGAGGGACCAAACTGGGCTCCATCAGTCCTCCATTCCATTTCCACTCACCTGCCATTCGGACAAGGCATGCCCGTTATAAGCAGATTTGATAATAAGTTGCTTTTTAAGAAGTTGTTTTCATTTCTTGGAAGCATGACCATAAAACTGCTGAGGCCGAAGTCTTGACAAGGGCTTTGGCTCAGGGTAAGGGTTGGGGCTCTGCTGTTTGAAGTATCAGCCAAGAGGGTTTTAGTCATTTCTGAGAACTCAGCAAGAGGAAAATCTTCTGTTCCCATTGAAAATAAACAAAAAAGCTGGTGGCTTTGTGTGCCCACGGAGCAACAGCAGAATCCAACCTTCCTTGGGTTGACTTTGTGGTGTTTCTGCCCGTTTACACTGAGCTCTGACGCAGTCTCTGCACAAATGAGCTTATATCACTACAGAAACCTGCTTTGAGGGTTTACTCCAGGGGACTTTTCAGATTGCACCTCTTCCAAAGTTGGTTGTTTTGGTTGTTCCTAAGCACAGGCAGCTTTGTAGCCTTGGGAGAGCTGTAGGTGCAGCCTCACAAGCCCAGTTTTGCAGAGTTTTTAGGGGTGCAGGAGCAGTTTCTCCCTCACCGCGCCTCTTACGCTTTGGGGATACGTGGTGGGTCCCATCACAAACCACAGCAGCAGATGGTTTTGCTCTTAAAAATCCATTACACTGAAGGAATGGTTTGAGAAATGGCAATTTGATTCATTATTGAGCGCTGGTGACCATAACCACCATCACGGATGGTGAGGCTCTTCTCCAGCTACTCTTGGTTTAGCTTCCATCTTTCCCCCCTTACTCCTCTTTCTTCTGTGGAAAGCCAACATCTTGGTGGGAACAGTCTGCCTGTCCTCAAGCCGTGTTCATATTGATGGTTGAAGTAACAGTAATATTGATGATATTTTCCTAAATCTTGACAAATTCTAAGGGTGGCTGCTCTCAGGCGAGGCCCCTCTCGGAGGCGGAAGCAGGAAGGCAGCGCTCAGCCCATTAGCTCTTCGCATTATTCATGCTGGTTTTCCCTCTATAAAAGGTCTATTTATAGAAGTCTAATAGAAGTCTAATTCCATCTATAGAAGATGGAGCTGCTTGTCTCCTGGGTACTGCCCTTCATGTGGCAATCTTTGCTGAAGGCCTCGCTTACGGCAGGGATGTATCGCAGAATACGAGAGATTTTGTCATGTTTCAGTGATGAATTTATAGCAGCCCTGATGCCAGCATTTTGTAAGGGCCTTTTTTTTTTTCTTTTTTTTTTTATTTTTGGATTAAAGCTAAAGAGGAGAATCCTTGCCGGAGTTCTGCGTCGCTGCATCTTTCCACTCCATTTACTCCATCCTGTTGAATTGACGCTGTTCTTGACGATTTACTCTTAAGTTAGTGCTTCAGGGGGGGCAATTCTGTGTTTTTTAAAGAATCTGGTCTCACTGACCTGGCCTGTTTTCTCCTGGGCAGGTGACCGAAGGCCACTGGAAGTGGGGGGACGTGACGATACAAGTCAACAGCGCCTTCTTCACCGGCATCTACGGCATGTGGAACCTCTACGTCTTCGCCCTGATGTTCCTCTACGCCCCGTCGCACAAGAACTACGGCGAAGACCAGTCGAACGGTAAATGCCTCTACACGACCCGATGGCTCTCGAGGGAAGAAAGCATTACCAAAGGGGTGATTGATACCTTTGGTACCTTGGTTTTTTTGGCCAAAGCTGCATGTTCAGCACTTCAAAATGCTACGCAAATGATGGTTTGTTTTTTCCTGGCAGACGCTATAATTACAGACGAGGTTAGGTTTGAGGATTTAGCCAAGGCCGTCTAGAACCTTCTAGATGGTTTTTTGTACTGTTTAGCGTGGCCCGGTTGTAATTGTGTAGCTCAGATGGAGGGGCAGGGAAAAGAGAAAACAGAAATCTGGGCAATGCTGTTGGATTCCTTTATCAGCAGTCTTCAGCAGCACAGAAATGATCCTTTGACAATATTTAAATTACTAAATGAAAGCATTTATGGAAATCATAGAATCCTAGAATGGTTTGGGTTGGAAGGGACCTTACAGACCATCTAGTTCCAACCCCTTGCCCTGGGCAGGGACACCTCCCGCCAGGCCAGGTTGATGTTCCATACATAGTCCATAGCTCAGCTGCCTCCTGAAAGCCTGGAGGGAATGAAACGGATTCTTTGCTTTCTAATTGCCAAATATTTTGTTGTGAGACCGGGCTGACAGAATAACGTCCTTCCTCAGGTGACCTGGGAGTGAACAGCGGGGAAGAGCTTCAGCTCACCACCACCATCACCCACGTGGATGGGCCAACAGAGGTTTACAAGCTGGCTCGCAAGGAGGCTCAGGAGTGACACCGAGGTGGTGGCCTCAGCTGGGACCCAGATAACTGGGCTGGAGGGCAGGGGACACCACACTGCCCGGCGGGAGCCCCCCCCCCCCAACCTCGGTAGTTTCTTTTCACCGAGCAGTGACACGGAGCAGAACGTTCGTAAAACTCTTTTCCTATGGTGTAGTTCTTTCTGGGGGGAGGGATATGTACATTGTGTTACACTCCAGCACGTCAAAACCTGCCAGAAAAGCAGTTAAGGTTGCAAAGTCGCACGTCCCACAGAAGGTGGGGAAGGGGCAGAGCTGACGCCGGGCACTTTTTATTTGGCTGCCACGTGCCTGCGCATAAAGGAGCTCGGTTGGTGAGCACATACTCATCAGTATTGGGAGTTTTCTCCTTAAACAAATCTTGGTTGGGGCGGGGGGAAATACAGTCTCATTGTTAAAAATATTTAGTTCCATCATCTATAGAAGGTGGGGAAGGGGCAGAGCTGACGCCGGGCACTTTTTATTTGGCTGCCACGTGCCTGCGCATAAAGGAGCTCGGTTGGTGAGCACATACTCATCAGTATTGGGAGTTTTCTCCTTAAACAAATCTTGGTTGGGGCGGGGGGAAATACAGCCTCATCATTGTTAAAAATATTTAGTTCCATCATCTATAACTGCACTGAAATTGTCTGAGTCTTGGGTAGGGCCCCGCAGCAAACCTCTGTCGCTTGAACAAGACGCCGCTGGGGAGGGGAGTAGACTGTAATAAGTAAGATTTTAGCAGAAGCAGTGACATCGCTTTCTCAGCAGGTTTTGCAGCTTTTTGTTAAATGTAGAGGAATGTAAAAACTGGGTGTCTGAGCTTTGCTGCAGGAGAAAGGGGTGCTCCTGTCCCCAGGTCCCAGAGATCCTGCTCCCACCACGTTGTCCTCCTCCATCCCACCTTTTTTGTTACGGATCCTTCATTTTTAAGCTGTTTTTGTGCCATGGGGAGAAGAGGAAGGCCACGGGAAGGATTGTCTTCTCAGGTCCTATGTCCCTATAACTGCACTGAAATTGTCTGAGTCTTGGGTAGGGCCCCGCAGCAAACCTCTGTCGCTTGAACAAGACGCCGCTGGGGAGGGGAGTAGACTGTAATAAGTAAGATTTTAGCAGAAGCAGTGACATCGCTTTCTCAGCAGGTTTTGCAGCTTTTTGTTAAATGTAGAGGAATGTAAAAACTGGGTGTCTGAGCTGAGCTGCAGGAGAAAGGGGTGCTCCTGTCCCCAGGTCCCAGAGATCCTGGTCCCACCACCAGCTCCTGCCTCTTCTCAGCCCCTTGGGCTTCTCTCCCTCTTGTTGTCCTCCTCCATCCCACCTTTTTTGTTACGGATCCTTCATTTTTAAGCTGTTTTTGTGCCATGGGGAGAAGAGGAAGGCCACGGGAAGGATTGTCTTCTCAGGTCCTATGTCCATGAGCTGAGCAGGGGATTCCAGGCGATCTCACTCCTCCTCACGCTGCCGGGATGGAGCGCTCTTGGCCAAGCTGGATTCTTCCAGGGATTATCAGACTTGGAAAAAAAAGTCCCCTTGTCATGTACTAAGGTGGATATTGGCTTTTTGGAGGAAAAGCAGATGATGAGGTTGCTCACCCCCACGCTGTGCCTGGGCAGGTCAGGCTCTTGGCAGCACCAGGGGACTGGGAACCGATACGGGGTGGAGGAGTTAACTGGGACCATGCTGGGGACCAGTTAAGAAAAGTGTTGATGGTGTGTGCAGGAGGAAGTGTGGCTGCTCAGGGCACATCTCCATCCAGGACCTGGAGGATCCAGGAGACCTTGTCACCTGTAAATATCCATGTTAACTGCTAGTTAACGTACAACTCAACCCCCCAGTTTTGTCCCTAAAAGATAAGAATCTGTCTGTTGCTGAAGGGTCAGATATCTGGGGAGAGGCTGGGAGCTCCCAAAGCCACTGATGGTTCCCCTCTCACCACCCCAAGCATCTTGGTGACCAAACACAGCACCACCTTCCTTTGCCTTTTGCATTCCCTTCCCTGAGATTCTTCCGACAAGTCAATACTTCCACTGGGGTGAGGAATTCAGATAATTTCTCTGTATTTTCCCAGTCCATCAGGGAATGAGGCCAGAAGGCCAGTGCTTGCCTCTCGGCCACGTGCAGGACCAGCCAAGGGACCCCATCTGTCCCCTCGCTGGCCTTTCCCAGGGGGGACTTCCCCCAGGGACCTGTGCGGAAGGAATCGCACCAGGAGGTGCTGGGCTGTTATGATCCCAGTAAGAACAGCACTCAGTAAAGTGGCATTTTAAATAAAAAGAGGATAGTGTAGATAATCTTGCCTCCTTTTGGTTACTGGGACCCCCAAGTTGTGCTCCATCACATGGGTCTCCCATCAGGGTGCAGCGCACCGGGCAGACCCCATCTGCGGAAGGGTTGCCTTGTTATTGTTAATTCAAGATAAATTCAAGATATTATTGTGTTTTCTTAAGAGAAGGCAATTCTGGTGGCCCCCCAACCAGGATGCCCGGCTCCCCCCTTACCCCTGGCATGGTCTGGGTGCCAAGGAAGGCTGAAAGCTCGGGGTGAAGCCCCTCGTGATGCCGCATCCGAGCGTGTGGAGTCACCGGAGCCGTGCCGAACGCTGCTCCAGGGAGTAACTTTGGGTCATTTTGGATACTTGAACTGCAATACTAGTCATTTTTTATAAGTTTGGGTTGGTTTTGTTTGGTTTTTTTTAGAGTGGTATGTGTTGCCCCGTTACTGAAAAGAAACGTAGTTGAAAAGAAATCATTAAAAAAAGGAGGGGGCACAATTACTGTTCCTGGCCCAGTGCTCGACTTTGCAACTTTAACGTGGCTTTTTTCCCTTGGGTTCTTTGTGTGATATTTATGTTGTTGCCATCAGTGCGTCCGTGGTTTCTTTTACAGCGTAGTGTAGCGTTGCGTTTTGTAAAGGCTCCTTACAAATGGGGGGGGGGGGGGGGGGGGCAGCTTTCAAACCAAATTTTGTGTCAAACACTAACAGTTTGTTTACGGGGCGCGTGTCTGCGTGCGTGCGTGTGTGTATGGGGGTTTTTTTTTTTAATTTCTTAATTCCTAAGTCCTACTCATATGTCTCAGAAATAGTCCCTGGGTCTTATTAAAATATATCCTTTTTTTTTTTTTGTTTAGGCTGAGTTCCGGTTTTTACAGAATGCTTTAAGCAACCTGGGAAACGTGTAGTTTTTGTTAATTTAAATAAAATATACAATATTGTGGATCTGTGGTGGGCCTGCCTGGGAAATCACAGCTTTTCTGCTGGGATCTTGTGTGCTTTTAGTTTATTCAGGCAGTGGCAAGTGGTGCAAGTTGCTGCTGGGGAAACAGTTGACTCACTCAGATGATTTTTCTCCTGCATCTCTCTTTTTGCCCTTAAAAACCTTTGCTTTAGGACTAATCGTTGCCCGAGCCGTTTCTTCCTTGTCTCTGGAGCGTGGGTTGCAGCTCCCCTGGCCCAGCTGGAGTCTGATCCCACTACCATTGGGTTTTCCTTCAGGAAAAGTCCCCTGGACCTGCCTGTCCCCTCTTGCCAGCCCCAGAGTGGCCACAGCTCAGTTGGGAAGGTGGCAAGTTGGCTGTTACCCCAGGATTTGGGCATTCTCCTCCCTCTGTGCTGTATTCAAAGGCGCTGCTCCTGCTGCGTCCCACGTTCTTTCTGTCTATAATCCAGGGGGGGGAAGAAAAGGTTTCCCAAAGACTTGCACTTGAGAAGTCATGGAAAATGTGATGATGACAGATGAATTCCAATATCAACAGCTTGAAGTTCCCATCCTAACGGGGGCTGCCTTGATCAAATGGCACATGAAAGGGGACGGGGAGTTTTTAGGGAGAGCCCGTGGCTGCGGCAGCCTCTGCCGTGGTGAGGACCGAGGGCTGCCCGAAGGCAGAGGAGAGGCAGCACAGCGCTTCCACCCTCTAATGAATTGCAAAAGAGCAAATTCATGAATTTTAAGTAACTGTAAAACCACTGCCACCCTCCCACGCGGCCTCTCGTCCCAAGATTTCTCTTTGGGCTCTTTGCCCTGGCAGGGCTTTGCTGCCCTCTGCTGCCAGCGGGACACGCCTTCCAGCCAGAGGAAAAGAGAAGACAGATCACTAAAAATTTGGGAAATGTGCTTATGTGTCTAAGTTCCTGTCACCTGCAAGGTCTTGCTCAGGGTCCGAGCTGTCCCAGGAGCTACGTGGTTCTGTGCTGCCGGGCCAAGGACACGGTGAGAACTGGAGAGGAATGGGGACAACTGCCTGAGGGTTTCTTTAAGAGGTATGTGGTGGGGTTACGAGCACAAGAAGTGAGTAAGAGAAGGGAAATGGGTCGTGATAGACCTTCGTGGGTGAGCTGGGGACCATGGCTCTCTTTGGCTGAAACAGTTTGACTGGTTTTAGAATCACAGAATGGTTTGGGTTGGAAGGGAACTCAAAGCCCACCCAGTGCCACCCCCTGCCCTGGGCAGGGACACCTCCCACCACACCAGGTTGCTCCAAGCCCCCTCCAACCTGCCCTTGAACCCCTCCAGGGATGGGGCAGCCACAGCTTCTCTGGCCAACCTGGGCCAGGCTCTCACCACCCTCCCACCAAACAAGTTCTTCCCCACAGCTCAGCTCCATCTCCCCTCTTTCAGTTTGAAGCCATTACCCCTCGTGATGTTTGCAATGGTGTTCTGGGGTAACTGGGCTTGTGAACCAGGTGTCCATCCCTGTGAAAGGGTACGTTAGATCAATGAAAGGCTCGGGGAAGGGTGACAAAAATGATCAAAGGCTATACAGCTGTCACCACATGGCTGCTGGCCACAAGCTCCAGCAACAAGGCTTGTGGGGTGGAGCTGGTCCGTGTGTCCCAGCTTAAGAAGGGAAGGAGCAACTGGGTGGGTTTGAGTGTTCCAGCAAGGATCCAAGACTCCCCAGTCTCCAGTGGTGCTGGGGAGAGGGAAGTGCTGGTGTTCTCTTCCCGTCCCTTTTAAGCCCGCTCCCAGCAGTCCCCGGGTAACTAGTGTGTTGTGGGACACTGAAGGAGTCCCCTCTCCCACCACAAGTCCTGCAGCCCAAGGCCATTGTATGGGATTTCGTAATAAAGTGTTTTCTTTATTCCTGGGGAAATAATTGCAGGGACTGAACTGCAGGAGACGAGATGTACGGAGCCAGAGACGCTGCTCACCTCCGCTCCGGTCGTGTTATAAACGACTGTCACTCCGGCTCGCGGAGATGAGACACAGCCAGTGCATTTTTATGGGGGTAAAATAAGCAATAAGCAGTAAGAGCTTTATTTTTGGCAGGATTTAGCTCTGTGGGTGGCGCACAGACGTGCATGACGGGTCTGCTTTCCTGCTTGGCACCTGACATGACACTCGGCAAGCGCCCGTGGCTCTTTGAGCTGTCGGAGACTGTTACAGGAAATCAATACGCACGTCAGGCTTTGGATCTAGAGTTTTAAATAAAATATAAAGAGCTCATCGTGGCTATGATTGTCAGCACCTCCTGCTTCTCCATCCCTGATGTGTGTAGGAGTCTGGAGCTGGTGCTGCCCAGGATGAGCCACCACTTCTGCTCCATCTCTGCTTCCTCCCATCCCCAGCCGTGGTGGCATCTGCTCCAGGGGGGCCATTGAAATACCATCCCATCCTTTGGCTGTTTTCATCATCTCGGGTCAAGGAAAGCTCATATCCATTATAATAGCAGGCAGGAGTGTTTTCTTCTATTTTTTTCCATCCTGGTTTCGTTGTGCTTAAAGCTCTTTTTCATCATCTTGAGTCAAGGAAAGCTCATATCCATTATAATAGCAGGCAGGAGTGTTTTCTTCTATTTTTTTCCATCCTGGTTTCGTTGTGCTTAAAGCTCTCCAGAGTTTCCTTCCAGAGGAAGGGCGCTCTTCCAGCACAGATGAGGCTCGCTTATGAGATGGATGTTATGTCTCAAAAATAGATAATCCATTCCGGAACATTTCCTAATAAATATTTTACAGGCTGAACTGCACTCCCAAGTATCGGCATAGCTCAGAAGAGACATCCTTTCTGAGAAGCAATACGCACCAGTGACACAAATCCTCTGGTTTTAATAATAATTTATGCAATTCCAGAGGAAAAATCCTTTTTCTGCCTTCAGCTGCTGTCTCGTACCTCTCAGCAGGAATCGGTGACATTCAAAGCAATATTAAGACAGTGGGCTCTACTGGCTGTGAATATCAAGTTCCATCTCCCACCAGCAAAGGAAAGCCTTGGTGGGCTCCAGAGGAGAAGCAGTGGAAATGGGGCACAGCGAGGACAAAGCAGGGCAGGTTCCTGTCCCCAAACCTTAGGGTGCTGTGCTCCTTGCTGTGCCCTGGGTCACTTGGACATCCCCCAGCAAGACCCCAGGGGTCTTTGGGAGCTGTTGGTGCCGTGCCTCAGTGGTACCCCAAAGTTGGACATTTTCACTTCAGGAGCTCAGAACCAGAGTTCGCAGAACTTCTGCTGTAGTGATCTAGGAAGTAAAATCCATTGGTTTCTAACCCAGGATTGCCCAAAGTGCTTGTTTTCTGGCCTGGTTTCATCCTGGTTGTTACTCAGTGTTGGGATCTGGGTAAGGATGGGATGAGTGGGAATCCATACAGGAGCTGAGAGCTGTCACACCTCGCATGGAACCTGTTTCTGGGGTGCCCACCCGTGCTCAGGAGCAGGAACCCCTTGCTCTTCCTCTCTGCCAGGACCATGCTGGGGGGAGGCAGTGGTGGGGGCTGTATGAGGTGGCTCCCCCTCCATCCCAAAATCATAGACCTGCACAATTTAATCTGCGTAGCTCCAGGACGAGGTTAAAGCAGACCCTGCAGACTCTCTCCTCTCTAAAGGAACCCGGTGAATTTGGTGGGGTGTCCCTGATGCTTGCTAAGTAATTTAATTTAATAAGATTTACCCTCACACACCACCCCCCCAAACATGGAGAGAAAAGCAGTGAGGAGCAACGCCTGGGCTTGGTGACCTGGGAAAGAATGTTCATGTGCAACCCCTGAGAGTTCCCCTGAGTCCTGACAGAACAGAAACAATCTTGGGGAAATCACTACAGAAAAGGGATCTGATCATCTTCACACGAGTCCCAAGGGAGTCCTGACAGAACAGAAACAATCTTGGGGAAATCACTACAGAAAAGGGATCTGATCATCTTCACCCATCCCATTTCTGGAGAAGAGTCAAGAAATCCTCCCGCGAGCACAGCAGCCTGTTGGCTTTCCATATCACCTTAATTAGCAAACAATTAGCTCTCGGAAAGAGCCGTCTTCTCGCTCATGCTGGGCTTGGTTCTGCACCCAGGTAGGTGGCACGTAGCCGAGCCCTGTGGTGGGCAAAACACAGCCAAAACCTGATGAAAAGGGGGAGATCCCCAGCACAACCATCCCATTGGATTCAGATGGACAACAGTAAATCCATCCCCAACCTTGGAAGGCTTGGAAAATGTTGTCTGGAAGTGGTCTATCTGCCTTCAAGCAAACATGGCTAGCTGAGACAGCGGGTAAGTTACTAATTAGTAGTTAGCGTTTCATTGTGGCTAATAAATATCTCATAAACAGCAGAAACGATGTTTCACAAGTTAGCTCGGGAAATCAAAGGCGGGTGAGAAGGGGAAACCCAAGTGGACACAACCATTTCTTGGATTAGAAAGGGCTGGTGACAACTTCTGTCACGGCCCTGCTGTGTTTCCCCCCGGGATGCTGCCAGCAGTCCCAAAGGACACAGGGAAGCGGAGCCTTTGCACAGGGAAAGTCTCTGCTCTTGCAGAGGAATCTTTGAATTTCCCCTAGTAAATCCCCGCAGATTAAACAGGACACTTTCCCCACCAAACGCTTGCAGTCGGGACAGCCCAGGTACCGTGTGGATTTAGGAATTCCCAAGGACACAGTCAGTATGAAGGTCAGGAGAGAAATGGGCATGGGTCAGCTGATGGTGCCAGAGACCCTGAGGTGAGCGTTTCATAACTATATCTGGATTTTAAAACTAAGATGTTATGGGATTGCAGGAGCCATAACCAATGAAGAGGAAAGGGCTGCTGGGTGAAAGCCTGTAGGAAATCACTGCTGATGTGACCAGGTGGATCTCCACAAGCTCCTCTGCAGCGATACCTGCACAGGAGCATGCTGCTGCCAGCACACATGGGACCCTGGTCACATATGCCACATACATGGACCACACGTGTCCTCACACTTCTTCTGGGCACCCTGCCACCCCGGCAATGTTCCTCTGGCCTCTCATGACATGGTTTTGCTCAGAGTCTAACACAAGTAATTTTACGTGGTTACTACCCCTTGTATTTACAGCTACGGAGCTGAGCGTAGGTTTATTGAGATGAGTAATTAACAGCAGGAGAAGATCTCCCAGATGACATCAGCTCTCCACATAGTTGTGACTCAGCAGCTGCGATTACAGCATTAATAATTCTCTGATATAATGGCAGTACAGTTTATTAGAGCTAATTTCCATCCCTGTGTATTGAGCATGAAGCAATGTTGATTAGCATACTGTTAAATCTGCTTTACTCCCCTATTTTCATTATCTTCATTATTAATTTCTTATTATTAATTTCAGAGAGGAACTTTCAAAGTAGCTCCGTGCAACTGGGCACGTTCCTGCCTTTAGAGGCTCTTTTTTTTGAAGGTCTCAGCTATAGTTCCCCTTACTTTTTGGATGGATTTGACCCAAGTTCTATCTATCCAGGTGTTTCTGAGAACCTCACAAAAATCAGGTGTTCTGGTTCTATCTCGTGCAGCTGAGCTGAGAATCAGCCCTAATCATTATCAGCAGCTGACATGGAGATATCTTGCTTCTGTGCCTGAACCAGCTGGCCCAGGAGCTGAGCATCTGCTTTTATTTCCCCCCCAGTAAATAATGCAGAGAAATGATGACAGGACTTGACAGGGCCTTGTGTTGAGATTGAAGCTACTTGAGGAAATCCTCTGGGCTTTTCGTGTTCGATAAAAAAATTTGGGAGCAGTACGAAATGGGTCCAAAGACCTTTTTTTTTTTTTGGAGTGGGAGGGGAGGCAAGCATTACAAGGCTTGCTGCTTAGTGAGGATAGACCTGGGTGCAAACCAGATGGGAAAATAGCATTGAGTCGTTGAGGCAGCAAGTAGCAGGGACCTTCCAGATCATCGAGTCCAACCATCAACCTGCCCAAACCCCCACTGACCCATGTCCCTCAGCACCACCTCTGCCCGGCTTTGAAATCCCTCCAGGGATGGGGACTCCACCACTGCCCTGGGCAGCCTCTGCCAAGGCTTCACAACCCTTTCAGTGAAGAAATTTTCCCAATGTCCATCCTAAACCTCCCCTGGGGCAACTTGAGGCCATTTCCTCTTGTCCCATTGCCTGTTCCTTGAGAGAAGAGACGGACTCCCACCTCTCAACTTCTTCACCAACAGCTGTGACAATTGTTGCTGAAGAGATTTAACTCTTCAACTTACAGGCCTGAGCGCTCCCCAGCCAGAAGCTTCTGTCCTCATCCCAGCAGCATCGCCCTTCTGTGATGAGGATATAACTATGGCTTTTGGAACCACGGGTTGATTAATAATTTATTATTATTTATGCGATTTTATTCCACAGGAAGAACAGGGGACTGTGAGCCTTTATACATAAGGGCCAGGCAGAAATGTGTGTGGTTGGGGTGGACGGGAGGCCAGGTGGGTCTGCAGGAGAAGCTGAGGAGAACCACATTCCTGTAGACTTTCAGAAGTATTTTATTTGCCTCTTTTGCAGCTGTTGTTCCCCAAACCAGGCCCTCTGGTTCACAGAATCAGGGGAAACATCTATGGCACTATCTTTAACCAGTTACCGCTTCTGTGAAGGGGGAAATTGCTCTGGACTGGACTGTCCTATCCTGAGGTCGGTGGAACAGGGAGGTCCTCAGGCGGGTGTACGGGTCCCTTTGGCTGTGGAGTTTCTCCTGCTGTAATTTAACTGTAACAACAATAAAAGAACGAAGCTTTGCAAAAGGGTTTCTTAAACACCCCCATCTTGGGCAGCAGGAGAGTTACAGACAACACACCCAGACCCTGAAGACACCCCTTGGCCAAGACACCCCCATTTTCAAGGCTCCTGGTCAGAGCTGAGCTCTGAACAGGGACATTTGTCTGCCTTGTTCTCTTCCTGCTGAACGTTCCAGCAGCAGAGCACCACAAATGCCCTTTGTCACATTTTAAAATTGGCGTATTCCTCCTTTCCCAGGGCCTGGCCCTGTCCAAACACGCTGGTTGGAGACCATCCTCTCCCCTGAGGTAGCTCAGCTGCATGATGATGACTCCCTGGTGGCAGCCCAGGGACCTTCTGGCTTTTTACAGACTTCCAGACAGGTCCAAGCCTGAGGTCATGCTCAGAAAAAAAAACCCACAAAACATTCTAGAGGAAAAAAAGAGAAGAATTCTCATCCAGGCAATGCAACAACCCCCTCCCGCTCACAATCAGGCACAGGGTTGGTTTTAATTGTAATGATGCAAGACGTTGCTGTTCACAGAATCATAGAATCACAGAATGGTTTGGGTGGGAAGGGACCCTAAAGCCCCCCCAGTGCCACCCCCTGCCCTGGGCAGGGACACCTCCCACCACACCACGTTGCTCCAAGCCCCCTCCAACCTGCCCTTGAACCCCTCCAGGGATGGGGCAGCCACAGCTTCTCGGGGCAACCTGGGCCAGGCTCTCACCACCCTCCCACCAAACAAGTTCTTCCCCACAGCTCAGCTCCATCTCCCCTCTTTCAGGGTCCAACCCTTCCCCCTCCTCCTAGGGCTCCCCTCCCTCATCCAGAGTCCCTCCCCAGCTTTCCTGGAGCCCCCCTTCTTTAGGGACTGGAAGGGGCTGGAAGGTCTCCCCGGAGCCTTCTCTTCTCCAGGCTGAATCCCCCCACTCTCTCAGCCCCCCCTCCCAGCAGAGGGGCTCCAGCCCTCCCAGCATCTCCAGGGCCTCCTCTGGCCCCATCCAACAGCTCCATGTCCTTCTGATGGTGATGGCCCCAGAGTTTGGGGGGTGTCTCCCCAGAAGGGAGCAGAGGGGCAGAATCCCCCCCCAGCCCTGCTGGCCACACTGCTGGGGATGCAGCCCAGGGTGGGGAGGTTTCTGGGATGCTAGCCCATATCGCTGGCTCCTGTGGAGCTTCTCATCCACCAACACCCCCAAGAATGATTAAAGAACAAACTCCTAATCAAGGAAAGCAAGCACTGTTAACATTCCTGAGGAGGAACACCCTGGAACAGATGAATATACGGACCTTGAGAACACTACTAATCAACATGTTTTGGGGAATTTAGCCAACTTGGCAAGACGGTGAGGATTTAGAGTGTCCCAAGCTGAACCACCTTCATTATAATACTAAAAAACACGCCAATAGGTCAAGAAGGCCATCGCCCAGGGGAAGACCACTCCCCTGAGCATGCGTATTTGTTACAACTCAATTATTGTGCAACCATATGTAAATTACTAACAAATCAAATCAGGTAGGAGGTACTAATATGGCAATGATGATGTAAAATGTGTTTATAAACCACGCAGAAAGTCCCGTGTGATGTGCTTGGATTTGTGGGAAGCCATCAAACACCCGGCTGTGCGTGACTCTTGAGATAAATAATCAATGTCTCACCCTGGCGTGTGAGATGGGCCCTCCACTGGCGTGGCTCGCTAATTAAGACATCCATATTAACCCGCTAACAAGCCCCGCTGGCATGGTCCCTCTGTGGGTGCGGGTGGGTGGCTGTGGAAAGGCGGGTTCGCGCCTGACTGAGGGGGCCGCCATGGTGGCCGGCGGCCATTTTGGGGTGTGAGGGAGGGCTTGGCTCCGCGGGCGGGCAGGGGGGAAAGGGGCCGGGGAAAGGGGCCGAGCTCGGCCGCACACCGCCATGGCGGGGCCGTGAGGCTGCAGCCGATGGTGGAGCGCCATCTCCTGCCCGCCATGGGCCCGGTTCTCTTCGGCGGTGAAGCCGGTGTGGGGGGGGACGGCGGACATGGCCGCCTGCCCTGTCAGGCACCGGGTTACCCGGGTTGCTTTCAGAGAGGGGCTGCCGAGAGACGGTGTCTGGGGACATTCCTTTATAAAGGAGGAGAAATACAACTTGTGATTGCGAAATGCAACTCTTTGTTTTCCTGGCCGGTCTGAGGGAGCTGTGTCAAAGCAGTGGACCTGAGCGGTCCGAAAGGCTGGGCGGCTTCTCTGAGGGAGGGTGGCGGCGGTGCCTCAGGTCATCCCCGCCGCTTCTAACGGCAGCGGGACAGGCAAACCCACCCGCTTCTAACGGCAGCGGGACAGGCAAACCCACCCGCCTTTTAACGTCTTAGGGTAAAAATCAGCCGCGAGTGTGAGGTGGGGAGCGGGAGGGCCAGGTGAGGGGCGGTAAATCCTGTCAGCGGTGCTGGTGGGGGGGGTGGACGGCGGGAAAGAGCATTTGTGCACGGAACGGGGAAAGGACGGAGCACCCAGACTCGGCTCCTTTAATCATCAGATTCAGGTGGTTGTGTTGATTATTTATTTTGAGGAGGGAGGGGGAAGGTTGGATTATTTTGAGGCGGAGGGGCAGGGCCCTCACCCTCCCGTTCCCCCGGAGCCGTGTCCCGCCCGGCCGCCTGCGCGTTGCGATGCCCGGGGAGGTGGCACAGGCTGCGGCCGTTCCTTCATCCATCCATCCATCCTCCCATCCACGCATCCATCCATCCATTCGAGGAGGAGGAGGAAGGAGGTGGCAGGGAGCCCCCCCTCTCCTTTCTCCCCTCCCCGCGGCGGCGGGGCTCCGGCCGGAGGCGGCGCAGCCTCCCCGCCGCTGCCAGGCGCTTTCGGGCTCGGCTCTCTGGACGGTGGAGCCGATGGCTACAGGTGAATTCCTTTCCCCTTATTAAGTGTGCATGGGGTATACGCCTTGTGTGTGTATGTGTATGTTTGCTTTTTATTTCTCCTTAAGAAAAAATGGATGGGAGGGGAGCGACTTACTTAATGGCTTATTTCAATAACGGAGCGTAATATTACCGAGGTGATGTGAATGATTTCTTTCTCTCTCCCCCTGCTCCTCTCTTTCCCCATTGCTCTCTCCCTCTCCCCTCTCCGCAGGCCACCTCTGTGCAGGGGTGTGTAAACTTGAAGAACGCGGGCTTTTGCACTTAAAAATCTCCAGTTAAGATCGCAGCGCAGCAGACATGCCTGAACAAAGCAATGATTACCGGGTGGTTGTCTTTGGAGCAGCCGGGGTTGGCAAAAGCTCCTTGGTGCTTCGTTTTGTGAGGGGGACTTTCAGGGAAACCTATATCCCCACCATCGAAGATACGTACCGGCAGGTCATCAGCTGCGATAAGAGCATCTGCACCCTGCAGATCACAGACACCACGGGAAGCCATCAGTTCCCCGCTATGCAGAGGCTGTCAATATCCAAAGGGCATGCTTTCATCTTGGTGTACTCTGTCACCAGCAGGCAGTCCATGGAAGACCTTCAGCCTATCTTCGAGGAGATTTGTCAGATCAAAGGGGACATCCAAAAAATCCCCATCATGTTGGTGGGTAACAAAAGCGACGAGACCCAGAGGGAGCTGGATGCCAGCGAGGGGCAAGCCTTAGCCAGCAAGTGGAAGTGCTCCTTCATGGAAACGTCAGCCAAAATGAACTACAACGTGCAGGAGCTCTTCCAGGAGCTCTTGAATCTGGAGAAGAGGAGAACTGTCAGTCTCCAGGTGGACGGAAAGAAATCCAAGCAGCAGAAAAAGAAAGATAAACTGCAAGGCAAGTGCTCTGTTATGTGATTGACTTTGGCTGGACTCGCGCCGCTTGCGTGGTGCAATCGGAGCGTGGACTCCTGCAAAATATGTTTCTGCCGGAGGTTTCAGACTTCATAGGGCTATTGCTTTTCTCTGAAATCTCTGCTGGGTTATTTTATGTGCTGGTTTTAAAAAGGATGGCTTTCTGCATGTGTATTTTTTTAAAACAATAAACGTTCAATGTTAGCCATTACATGTGACGAGAAGTTTTTAATGCAAGAAGTTTACAGAAGAGGAAAAATGTCAGTCAGAGACAAACATCTCTATTCCTGTGAAAACACACTGTTTTTTAAGTATTTCCAGCCTATTAGCTCAAAAGAAATCATGGTGTTTCTAATGCGTAGTACTTGTTTTCAGGCATCTTTTGACCCGAGCAAATCTTTAACAAAACTAGGCATTTGCACTGCAAATAAACAGGTGTGTGGCTCCAGATCCTTACATTTTTGGCAGGCAGGCTGGCTTGCCTGCCAAAGACACAGTTTTTAGGTGGTGGGAGTTAAGTTTTCCTGTGTGCTCTGCATTCCCTGAGACTTCTGCAGTTCTGAGTAATTACATCTTTACCTGCATCTAATCGCTTTGTTTGCTTTTTTACCCCCTTTGCTCTGTTCACTGAGGCAGGAACTTCCATGTGCTCTGGCTCCAGGTCCAGGGGTGATTCCTTAAGCAAGAGCTGCCTCCTTAATTAAGGTAATCGGGCTGTTTTAAGTACTAGTTTAAGTAGTGGTTGGTTATCCTGGTTATCACCTTTCCTTTCTCCAGTGTCTGGTTCTGCATGTGGCTGAAGCTACTTTTGCAGTTGTCTTGGAGTCCTCTTAAATATTATTTCACTCCCCTTTTCTTATTTCATGCAAGTTACCCAGGTTTTAGTTGAGACTTAGGACAAGTCGGTTCAGGTGACGCTGCTTTGGGAGGAAACATCTCCACCTGGAAGCTGCATGTTTAAAACAAACTCCTCTCTGAGGGAAACTTTTAGCAGGCAATTCCCTTAAATTAAAGTACTGGAGATACGGGTTTAGTCTCTCTCTTGTCTCTCCTCCTCTGTTTTTCTTTTTGGCTGTTGTCAAGAGACAAGCCAGATAAGTCTCATCTGCAGTGCGTGGTTGAGAAAGATTTCAGGAAAATTAATGCAAGAATTTGCCGTAGATCTCCTGCTTTGTGTACGTATTTGTCAGAAGACTTTAAGGGCCTCGGGATTGCGCTGTAAATTTGATTTTTACACAGCAACATCGTCTTGACGCAAGAGACACGGGAGAGTGGAGTTGCTTCTTTTTATAGCACTTTTCTAGTGAAACGCTTTTATTGTTGAAGATGAACAAAACAGGGACCGGGAGGTGCTGGAAAGTACGTCCCTTTCTGAGTCTGAAAGCACTAGTGTCTATTAATAACTGCTGCTTTTCTGCGTAAGCTGCGGGAGAAGGGCCTGTTCTCCTGCCGTTACGTCTTCACGTGTTGCAGGCTCGGTTCTGCCCGAGTGTTTGGTGCTGACTGAAATGTGACATTTGCTTGCCAAAATAAAACCTGGACTTGCCAGGCTGGTAACAAAGGCTCGACGCCTGATTTTTCTCACTGGAGGTGACACCCCACCAGTGTCCTGTGCTGGGAGCGCTGGTGCTGACTGGTGCAGGGCTCTGTTGCCATCAGGGCTGAAGGGTGGCTGTAGAAGCAGCCGTAAGGGCTTTGCTTGGAAATAACTCTTGCCTTTTTCCTCTTTCCTCTCTGACTTTGTGCCTGGATTTTGATATCTCTGTTCTTTCATTTCCAAGCAGTTACGCAATGCTTCTCTGTGGGTCGTTTTCAGCGTCTGGCAATTACTGCTGCAAAGACTATTTCGGTTCCATCCCAAGCCTTTGAAACCCCCATAAAGTCATTTTATATTTAAGCCTTTTTCAAATGTCATGGGACCTAATAAGGGCTCTCCAACTCCCACTGCCTGCGCGGAGGTGCCTGTGCAAAGGCAGGGCAGCTCGTATCTGCAATTATTCCCCCAGCCGAGATGTTCCGCAGCGTGTCATTATCACTGCGGTCTTTTCCCTCTGCGTGGGATGGAGATGGCTGAGGCCTGGGGTCCGGCAGAGCACAAGGAACAACTGATATGAACAAAACAGAATGGCTGATCCCCCCCACCCAAAATCTCCCCCTGCTACGGAAGGAGGTCCCACAGGATGATGGAGATGTGGGGTGCTCCTGGAGATGGTGTGGGGGGTATCCGCATCCCACCTCCCAGTCTGGAGAACATTGGGAAGGAGTAATGCCTGGTGTGGCTGTATAAATCATCTGTGTTTTGGGTGTGCTAGCTCAATGGTATTGCAGATTAAAACTGTATTAATAAATAAATTGTGTAATTACGTTTGTTTCCGTATAAACTGAACTAGTCTGGTTTTTGTGTGTCTGTAATCTACCATTCTTAGAAGAAGGGAAACTTATTTTAATTGAACTGATACCTATCAAGATGTTAGCCATTAAAAATTCCATACAAATCTAAATTACAGGGCAATATCTCCACAATCTTCCAGGGAGCTATGTAGAGAATGCCTGCACTTGGAGTGAAAAATACCATATTGCTCGGGGGACCCTGGATAATTGTTACGAAAGAGCAGCCACATTCCACTTGTAAATCAATGTTGATTCATAAACCTTGTATTCGGATCTGCTTCCTCCTAACCCACAGCTGGGGGGTTTGTGTGCAGCTGCTGGCATCGTTCCTTTCTGCTCTTATAGCCACAAGTCCTGGGCTAATGTCATTTTTCTGAAGTGATGGTGTAACTGGGGAATTGCCACCCTTGGACTAACTGGAGAACAGCTGAAGTTCTGTCGTTTTTAGGGACTGATGGGTAAGTTTTTGCTAAAACCCTGTGTGAAGTAGTATGTGCTTCCTACAGGTAGTGTTTGAGGAGTTTGTGGCACACACGCTTAAGTTCTATTTCTCACGTAGGAGCATTTTGTTGAGTTAAATGTTTTTTCTTTAAGTATGAAAGTGTTTTGTAGTATAAGGAGTATATTGGAAGTAAGTGCTTTAGACGCACACTGTTCCTATCTGGCAAGCAGGATGGTAACTCAAGTATTTCTCAAGTTGGTTGGTTTTTCTCTTTTATCTTTATTTTTTCAATTTATTTTTCTCATTCAATCAAACTTCATTCGATCCCAGAACTCACTCTTTTTCTGAAATGTTCTTCAGGAGTTCAGAGGTGGTGAGACAAGGCGATGGGAGTTGCTGATACAGCTTGTTGAGTTGCTATTTAATTGCCTCCGTAACGTCTTTCCAGGATCACGAGGGGAACGCAGTTGACTAAAAATTCTCTGTACGACATCCTAAATGAATGCTGGGACCTGCTGGTGTGGCTGGAGGAAGGCTGAGATATTTCAAGCACACACACTTACTGCTTTGCCCAGCAAGGTATGTATTTCCAGCTCTAATTTAACCCTGTCTTTCCGTTTCGTTGTCAACTGGTTTAATTTGGAAGCGACGTGGAATGAGTGGAGCATTAATACAGGTTTTCCTTCGATTTGCGTTTCCCAATCTTGAGATTGCTTTAAAGCTTGGCTCAAGTTTTTGTTCTGAAACATCAATTCCTTGCTTTCTGCTGCTGTAGAGCTCTTGAATAATGTTCAGGGACAGTGTTGCGGTTCCTTCCCAAGGAACTGTTAAGCAATATTCAGGCCAGAAGGTGTCGGATCCGAAGAGGTTTAATGGGCAAAGATAATAGCTCTGCAGGCCTTCTGTTTCTTTGCTGGAGGAAAAAAATCACTCATGGCACCTTTCATTTTAAAGCTGTTGCGAGGTTTCCTCTCTGCAATCCAGACATTGAAATGTTTCTCCATTAGTAATACTTATTATTTCCATGCAACACTTGTCGACTGGCTGGAGGCAGCTTCCTTCCTGAACCTGGCCAACGAAATTAGCGCGGAGAGAAAATACCGGGGAGGAGAATCACGAAACAGCTCTGCTGCGAGTTGCAAGGGAAAAATGTGAGCAGTAGCTGGAGTGTCCACCCACACATGGATTTTAAAAACAAGCAGCCAGAATATTGCTATATTCTAATTCCTCTTCCCGGCGCAAAGCAGGCACATGATTAATGGAACAAACAGCTCTGAATAATAAGCAATATTGCTTTATATGCATGGGCCGTAGCTACAGGGTACTTGATGCTCTCTAGAAGAGTGAAAGCGCATCTTAATCACCGTCTGCCATCTTCTGCAGCTTCTGCAGCGTAAATTAAGTACGTCAAAAGCATCTAAGAGCTAATAAAAATGCTAAAGACCCCTTAAAGCTAATTGTGGCATGGCAGCCTCCTCGTTAATGGCTATTGCTGCGTGCCAGTCCAGCACTGCTACACCTGAGTGTTTTCTTTTTCCTCTCTCATCTGGAAGGGATTGGATTTATTTATAATGACTACAATTTAAAATGTTTTACTGATAAGGGTATATTATTAACACACCCCTGACGGGACCCCTGCATCTCACCAGCTGAGCCCGTGGTGGTTCCTCCAGCTGCAGGCAGGTGATTTTCCTACCCTGCTAAAACACACCCAGGCAGCAGAGGAGTAAAAGCTTTGCATCTCCAGCATCAGCCAGAGTCGTCTTGTTTCACCTCTGCTTTTCGAGAAGGGCATGTGTGACAGCTCTCCTTACCCAGAGGTGAGACTGAAATAAAACACATCAACATCCTGATGACGTCCAGGGCTGAGCGACCCGAGTGATATCCAGGAGTGCAGTGGGACACCCAGGAGAGGTGTGGATGTTGGGTGTGCAGTTTGTCACCCAGAAATACGACGACATCTGCTCAGCAAAGTCTTTGGGTGAGCTTTACCCAGCCCCGGGGCTGAGCGTGGCAGGGCTGTAGGTACCCCCTGCAGCCCCTCAACATGAGACAGGAGGTAGGACATGGTCAGGATCTGCAGTGGTGTGACAGCACCGTGTCACGGTCACATCCCTGGCACCAGGAGGCAGCACAGCAGATGGGCAGAGAAACCAAAACCATTTTCACCCAGTGGAGAAGAGAAAAAGTTGCTCCTTTTTACCCAGAATGACAGCAGGGGCAAGGGTGTAACGTGTCTTTTGATGAAGACTCCCTTTTTAAAAAATGCATCCTGTTTTTCAGCCAGGTAAGAGGAAATTGGTCACATCTGACAGATTTATTCTGCGTAATTCTATTGGTTGGTGTTTTTTCCAAGGATTAGTGGGCAGAGCACTGCA